GCCATCATAGCTCTCATACTTACTACAAAGACATGGGTATTTATACGCACACAATTATAGAGTGACATCACATCCTTACACGTACATGCATGCATGCTCTATGTTACATATTTACAAATCTGAGTCAAAGTGCAGTGTTTGGGTGCAGAGGTCGTGTTCTGGGTGCTGATCTTCCCGTAAGCCTCATTGGTTTTCAGAGAGACCTCATCTCGTGCTGCATTGAGTTGCTGATCACCATCGACCACCTCATAGAGCTGTTCCTGGTTCCCAGGACCCTCTCCACCACTCTTTGTTCCCCTCCCTCTCAGTGTGTACATCCAGTGGGCAGCTAACAGTAGGTTGATAGTCACTGAGACGAGGAGCAATACAGCCAGTCCCACCACTACACCAGTCAGAGACTCTGTGGGAGGGGGATTGTGGCAACATTTTCAGTCTATTGGGTGTCCTTGTAGCTTACCATTGCTGTCGGCTCCTGATTCTGAGTTACCTACATACAACAACTTCTTTGGTGAATGTGGAGGTAGCTAATAGCTATGAATAGCAACTTGCCTAGACCAATACGGAAAGAAGCTGACTCTCCATCCACTGAACATGTGTACTCTCCATTGTCTGTCTCAGATGCACAGTAGATAGTGAGTTGAGACACAGTGACCTTGTCAGTGGAGGACACACTGCCACCACTCAGGGGACCAGTGTCACTGAGAGTAGTGATGAATCTGCGGGTCTCCAGGTTTCTCCCAGGAGAGCTCCACTTGGGAGGTGAGGAGTCTCGAGGATAGCCATACACCTCACATGTCAGAACAATCACCTCACTTCCTTCTCTCACCACCAGTCCTGAGGACTCTACCTCCACTATCACTGTAAAGAGGAATAGAGTAAGCATAGCACTAAAAGCTCTGTATGATTGTGGTGTTTATGCACACTCACTGAAGTTTATGCTGGCTCTAGCCTCTTTGTGTACATAGCTACTGTACACATGTGGCATGCATCACCCAGTATCTCACTAATGAACAGCCAGTCAGTGTCTTCGTCGAAATTGAATATGATATAGAGATTATCAGGATTTTGTGGTAGAATAAATGTATTCCTGGTCAGTGTATTTGTAGAAGAGGAGAAAGAACAGTTATGAGGGACGAAAGTATCTTCAACTCTTGGACTGAAATCAGTAATAATTCTGGTGGTCTCAGGTGGTCCTATTTTGGCAGAGGGAAGACTCAAGAAGTAGACTTCAATGTAGGACACAGTAGAGATATCAGTGGCAGAGAAAGAGAGTGCCACAGAGCCATTGTCTCTATGCCAGACAAAGAACCTGGTGACCTGGTCTTGATCACTGGCATCCACTGAGTCTGTAGGTCCAATGTCTCCATCACTCAACACTCCTTCTCCTGCTCCACACTCCAGAATTCTTGGAGCAACTTCACAGCCTGTTGTGTCTGGCTCAATACCATTGTATGCCACTGGAGATGTTGTTCCCCCACTTTCATGAAATCTTGAAAGAATTGCATGCAGTGTTTATATCATTACCAGTCACTGCTACTGTATGAACTTGCCTCTCTGGCAATCCTGCTCTGAACGAAGACGGATCGTAAGAAATGCCACAAGAAATATGGCCTCAGCCGAAATCATTTCTGACCCAATGACTAGTGCTTACTTTGCACATACCTGGACTCTACACCTTTTATGTACATTATACATACTCATAATTTATTATTCCGAATCTCTAACCCAATGTTTACAACAGCCTTGTGTTCACTAGCACAGTGAACCAACAGAGCTATATATATATAGCTGAGGTGTGGTTTAGCACGCATACTTAGAGTGTTAAAGAGAATGTTTGTAGTGTAAGTGCATGTCTTTGACATGTTCCAGTGTTGGGCCCTCCAGCGTGGTGCCTTCCTTGCAGACAAAGTAGAGTCGAGCAGAGTACTAGACTATGTGGCTCTCTGCCTCTCCTCCATAGTAGTCTATGAACACCCCTGATGGTGGATGTATGATTGGTGGAGAGTTGTATGATGGATGTAGAGTTATGGGTAGTAATTCTGGTGGTCTCAGGTGGTCCTATTTTGGCAGAGGGAAGACTCAAGAAGTAGACTTTCAATGTAGGACACAGTAGAGATATCAGTGGCAGAGAAAGAGAGTGCCACAGAGCCATTGTCTCTA